CCGGGTTCGATTCCCGGCGGGTGGAATTTCCGACACGTTTCCTTACACCTATTGTCCTGTTCACCTAGCAGCAAATAGGTACCTGGGTGTTAGTCGACTGGTGTGGGTCGCATCCTGGGGGACAAGATTAAGGACCCCAATGGAAATAAGTTAGACAGTCCTCGATGACGCACTGACTTTCTTGGGTTATCCTGGCTGGCTAACCCTCCGGGGTTAAAAATCCGAACGAAATCTTATCTTATCTTAACATCCAGAAACACACTGGCTTAAGTAACCGCAACTAACACAAAGAGTCAGGTCATGTGTGAGATGCTTACGGAAACCCAGCCATTCTTAATAACACAAGACATTCAGTATTCATAATATATTTTGGAATACAGAGCAACAGGTACTATTAAAATACGATAGTTAATTATAATGCTTGTAGGTAACTATATAGGAATCTTTATAGAGAATTCTCTGAGCTGTGTTTTTCAGGACACTGACGTAAGGTAGTACAGAATGATAACTAACTTATGTGATTCGTATACACAGACTTACATAAACTCTCTCACTACCTCTTTTCCATATCCTGAAAGTTCCTTTCTGTAAACCCAAGGTTCCCCCATTCTCTTGCCTAGATGTGGAACTGAAGCGACTGGAGGACGGGAGAGTGTTGGCTATCAGACAGCCCTGACACTCACTCTCCAGTGTTATGGGTCGGTACTGACGATATTCTGACTGTCTTCTGATAAACTTTTCCTTCTTATCTATTGCAGCATAGAATAATAGCTCCTGATGACGGAAGTGTGAAAGATCTTGAGTTAAATATTTCTATCCCATGTGGCTTCTTCTGCACATTCTGGAGGAGGTGAATGTATTCAGATATTTGGGAGTGGACGTGTCAGCGGATGGGTCTATGAAAGATGAGGTGAATCATAGAATTGATGAGGGGAAAAGGGTGAGTGGTGCACTTAGGAGTCTGTGGAGACAAAGAACTTTGTCCTTGGAGGCAAAGAGGGGAATGTATGAGAGTATAGTTTTACCAACGCTCTTATATGGGTGTGAAGCATGGGTGATGAATGTTGCAGCGAGGAGAAGGCTGGAGGCAGTGGAGATGTCATGTCTGAGGGCAATGTGTGGTGTGAATATAATGCAGAGAATTCGTAGTTTGGAAGTTAGGAGGAGGTGCGGGATTACCAAAACTGTTGTCCAGAGGGCTGAGGAAGGGTTGTTGAGGTGATTCGGACATGTAGAGAGAATGGAGCAAAACAGAATAACTTCAAGAGTATATCAGTCTGTAGTGGAAGGAAGGCGGGGTAGGGGTCGGCCTAGGAAAGGTTGGAGGGAGGGGGTAAAGGAGGTTTTGTGTGCGAGGGGCTTGGACCTCCAGCAGGCATGCGTGAGCGTGTTTGATAGGAGTGAATGGAGACAAATGGTTTTTAATACTTGACGTGCTGTTGGAGTGTGAGCAAAGTAACATTTATGAAGGGGTTCAGGGAAACCGGCAGGCCGGACTTGAGTCCTGGAGATGGGAAGTACAGTGCCTGCACTCTGAAGGAGGGGTGTTAATGTTGCAGTTTAAAAACTGTAGTGTAAAGCACCCTTCTGGCAAGACAGTGATGGAGTGAATGATGGTGAAAGTTTTTCTTTTTCGGGCCACCCTGCCTTGGTGGCCACCCTGCCTTGGTGGCCACCCTGCCTTGGTGGGAATTGGCCAGTGTGATAATATATATATATATATATATATATATATATATATATATATATATATATATATATATATATATATATAATATATTATATATATATATATATATATATAATATATATATATATATCGTGCCGAATAGGTAAAACTTGCTACTTTGGATTAAATAGCAATGTTGACTCACGAAATCGTAATGACACGATTGCAAACAAACCATACCACGGGGGGGATTGAACCCGCGGTCAGAGAGTCTCAAAACTCCAGACCGTCGCGTTAGCCACTAGACCAGCTAGCCACAATAAGATTCGTCCAACTAGGTATATTTCTACACCATAGGAAGGTTAGGATAGGCCACCACTGTGACCACAAATGCAAGTTTTTACAGACTGGTCTAGTGGCTAACGCGACCGGCTGGAGTTTTGAGACTCTCTGACCGCGGGTTCAATCCCGGCCGGGGTATGGTTTAAATAGCAATGTTCTTGCCGAATAAGACAAGCGAAAATTTATGTATGCAATAATTTCTCAAAAATCGTTCTGAACCTAACGAAAAGAAATATTTCATTGTGTTTGTTTATTATTAAATTACTGTAAACTAATCTAAAATATATTTAATTGGAATAAACTAAATTAAGTTACGCTTGTTATAATAAGGTCAGGAAAGTTTTCTAAGTTGCTTTTGATACAAAATTATTAATTTTTACATTAACATAGCTGAAAAAAATTATCTTCAAAGGTGTCTTGGGGGCACCGCTGGGTCACCAGGTCATCAACACTGTCCTCGAGGAGAAATTGAATGACCCGATGAGAATGAAGGAGAGAATAAGCGATCTTGATGCCCATGATGCTCTGTATCTCCTCACAAGGTGTCTTATTGTGCCAAGACTCACTTCCTGAGGTGTGCACCCTCTTTTGACAAGCCAACACTCAACGAATGTGACGCACGCTTGAGGTCAACCTTTAAGAAGGCACTGAACCTGTCACTAGAGGATCAGCAATGGGATCAAGCAACCCTCCAAGTGCGACTGGGAGGTATAGGGGTGCGCAAAGCAACGCATGTTGCTTTAGCTGCATTTCTGACTACGTGTTTGGCTTTCAGTGCATTAGCCAAGAAAATCGTACCCGAACGCTTGAGAAACGTGGTAGGAGGTCAAGACTCCAGGTTTACTGAAGCAGCGATTCGGTGGGACACCCTTACAGACTCCTCCAGTAGACCAGCTCCTCCCAAACAGCACAAACAGTCCCACTGGGACAAACCGATCATGGAAAAAATCGCCAACACAATGCTCTCCAATGCTTCAGGAAAGGACAAAGCTCGTCTCCTGGCAGTGAAGGCACCACACTCAGGAGATTTCCTGTTAGCTGTTCCCAGTTCCTCCCTGGGCACTCGTCTCGACCCACAGGCCATTCGGATTGGTGTTGCTCTTCGCCTAGCCGCCCCCATCCTCACCGAACATAGGTGTATTTGCGGCAGGGCGACAGCTGATCAATTCGGACTTCATGGTCTCGTGTGTCACACAGCAGAAGGGAAGTATGCCAGACATGAGGAGGTCAATGACATCATAAAGAGAAGCCTCGCCACAGCCCGTTGCCCAGCTCAACGGGAACCCCAAGTGCAGAGATCTGATGGAAGTCAAAAGCGTCCTGATGGAGCCACTATGCTACCCTGGATGGATGGAAAGCAGATTGCCTGGGACTACACCTGTGCTGCCACATTGGCAGACACCTACTTGCCATACTCCGTAGTGGAAGGGGTTGGAGCTGCCAGCCACAGGGAGACCCAGAAGATCCGAAAATATGAAGACCTTCCTCCTTGCTATAACTTCATTCCAATAGGGTCGGAGACCCTTGGAGCATGGGGCAAGTGTGCTCTAAAGTTCCTCAAAGAGCTGGGTGAAACATTCATCACAGAAACGAAGGACCACAGAGCGGCCAACTTCCTTTTTCAGAGATACAGTTTTGCGATCCAGAGGGGAAATGCCTGCAGCATTCTGGGCACGCGACCCACCCCACGGGGGTGAGATGTAGCTCTGAGTTGCTATCTACATAGTTTTACTCCCTGTTGTATTTTTATCAGTGCATTTTGTCTCTAAATAAAATATATATAATATATAGGGGGTGGTAGGAGAAAATTTTCAAACAGGTTCAGTGAGAACCTTGAGTTCTGCAGGAGTGAGTAGGAATTCCCAGCAGAACCATAACTCAAAAGAGTTAGAACCACACCCTGGTTCTAACTCATTTGAGTGTCAATCATAATCCTGAACGAATCAGCTCAAACACCATATTCACTCCTGCACCAGTCAAAGCTGCAACATTGCAAGCTGATGTGTTGATTGCAACACGTGAGAGCCATCAATCAATATCCTCACACTGTTTTGATCTCCGTAAGATAATATTAAACTTTGTTATAGTCTCAGTAATTTATTTCGGTGTCGTAATTTTGGAAAAAATTTAAGACTTATAATGGATCGTGTCAATATATTTCTTGATATTTGCAGTTATTATTACTAAAAGGCATCAATAATAGACATCAATACATAACATTTATGTTCTCGTATCAATTTGCATCAGTATGTTACAAAATGAGCTGAAGAAACTAGAGAATAAACAGAAAAAATCATCGCCCACGAAACATTAACTCAGGATGTCAGAAAGTGAACTTTAAATTTAAGAATATTTTCCAGACTATCGTCTATTTCATAAATCAATCTTAAGTCTATCACTTATCTATTTTCATAATGTATATTGTCCCAACACATTGTTCCAATATATTTATATCCAGATATACTTCTCAGTAAACTTTATAAATACATTTAATCGCCTCGTTTCTGGTCCATAATATAAACACATTATATAAACACGTAGATATGGCTTCTTAAATAATAGTAAGTGTTCCAATTAGTTAACACCATAATGGTACAATGTTATATTGTACCATCAACACACGGTGTGAATGTTACAATGTAACATTGTACCATCAACACATGGGAATTTCTCTAAGCTTTTACCACAGGAGATAAAGGACATGTTTCAATCCAGTGACCTTGTTCAAGGCCACTGGTCCAAGTGGCCTTGATCAAGACCACTGGTCTAAGTGGCCTTGATCAAGACCACTGGTCCAAGTGGCCTTGATCAAGACCACTGGTCTAAGTGGCCTTGATCAAGACCACTGGTCCAAGTGGCCTTGATCAAGGTCACTGGTCCAAGTGGCCTTGATCAAGACCACTGGTCCAAGTGGCCTTGATCAAGACCACTAGTCCAAGTGGCCTTGATCAAGGTCACTGGTTCAAGTGCCCTTGATCAAAACCACTGGTTCAAGTGGCCTTGATCAAGACCACTAGTCCAAGTGGCCTTGATCAAGGTCACTGGTTCAAGTGGCCTTGATCAAGACCACTGGTCCAAGTGGCCTTGATCAAGGCCACTGAACCGAAACGTTTCAAATACATTCGTCCTAGCGTTTGTTCAGGTATCTTTCTACAACCACTTTCTCAGAAGGCTCAGGAGTTAGACAGAGAGGCGCAAGTTTACCTCTTAAAGGGGCGTTAAATACCCTTGTTGGGTCTTTGGACTATTAAGATCTATGGTTTTACTTACCCTGTCTGGCTTGCTTGTAGACCAGATTTGATTAATTTCTCTATCCATGAGTTTAAATTGATTCAGATTCCTTTGGATTGTTTGATTAGTTTCTTAGCCTAAGCCATTAAACTCCTTTCTCCAGACCCTTTTGGGGGCCTAGTTCCTGGGCCTTTTGTGTATCCATATGCTCTTGCGTTACTGTCCACAGGATGGATATGGGGTGCACAATAGACTAGCCACTGCGGTGGCAAAATCTAAATCTTGTGGGGGCGTTGACCCCTGGAACTCTCTCCAGGTATACTACAGAGGTTACATATACTAGTATACTTATAGCTGCCTAGGAGATAAAAGGAAATGCCAGGAGGCAATATTATATACTTAATTATATCATTATTTCAGGTTCCAATGTAACACAGGAACACTACGTACACATAGTGACTACTTATGGACCACTAGAGTTGTCAGACACCATGGAACATAATACTGGTGGCTACAAAATTAACAAAAAAATTAGCGTACATGATAATAAACCAGACAAAGCAGTACCTAACAACACAGAAATGACGTGACCTCATTGTCCAGATAGTATATATAGCATTCTTCAGGTCACTTTGTGTCACACCCAAGTGTTAGCATTCTTCAGGTCACTTTGTGTCACACCCAAGTGTTAGCATTCTTCAGGTCACTTTGTGTCACACCCAACTGTCTTTCTGTATATATTGTTTGTGTTAGAACTGATGAAGGTCCCAGGACCGTAACGTCTTTTTAAACCAGCACCAGAGTTAGTTCTAAAATTACGAGACATTGGGGTTTTATCCACTGGAAAAAGGGAGATGTACAAAAAACCAGACAGCAACTTCAGAAAGAAAACGGGTTATTTCAGAAATGTCTCCATGATATGTCAAGAGAGAAAACGGCTTCTCCGGGCAGCTAGAATCTGATATTTTTTTCCCCATGGATGATCAATCGTTTCTTCAGAGGACGTGAACATTGTCCAAAGGACCCTTCTGGGGTACTAAAGATGGACTCCTCGATGGAGTGAAAGATGAGGAGGTTGTCCTGGGAGTGGAAGAGCCACCAAAGGGAACGCTGGAATACCGAGGTGTTCTCCAAAATGTCTCACTGCAAGAATGTCCTTGGTGATCATGGACGCTGTGTTGATGCAAAACACGACCCGACGACTGTGACCCGTTCCACGACGACAAGCGGAAAGTTTGAGTCGTTTTGCTATTGGATAGCATTCTAGGGTCCCCATAGATGCTTTGGTTTCTGAAGTCTGCCGAGTCTAGGGCCACATCTCTTCCCATAACCCTGGACAGGAAGCCAGAACAGAACATCTTCAAGAATAGCTTACGGAACTTCTGGCTAAAGATGCAGTAGATGATGAAGTTGACAGACGAATTAATCGTGATAAGGAGATTACTCGACATGGTCAGTAAGTCGATGGTAATGTTCAGCAGCTCCAAGATGTTAATGATGAATGCGAGAACATTGCAGACGAAGAACACCGTCACAACCACCAACAACATCACTGCCAAGCCGATCTCTTTCTGCTGTAGGCGACTCAGCTGTCGACGCTCATGGTTGGCTGCACGAACCTGTGAGGGTCAAGAAAAAAAATTACTCACCCATAAAACACTATTCAGTTGCCAAATTAAGTCCATTTATTTAATCAGTTCCCATAAAACATTAATCTTCTATTCACTTATCCAATTAAATCTCATCTTTTACTCAGTTGGAGACAAATGTTACTTATTTTACCCAGTTAATTGATATTTCTAAACAGTAGCGCTAAATATGTGGATAAGATGCACGTATACACTCCACACACATTCGTGCGATTTTTTTGCAATCATAGTGAGATGCCCTCTATTAAGCAACTCTATCATCAGCTTAAGGAGGAGCTGAGAGATGCCAGGCTAGAGATCCGGCGACTGACTGAGGAAAACATAAGGATTTATTGTAATCCTCCTGTTGTAAATCCTCAGGCCAATAAAGGAAGCTGGACAGTTCCTGGACAGCATAGAACCGAGGATCAAGAGACCGGATGGAGTCATAGATACAACGGAGATCCAGGAGATTGCTGCAGAAACTTCAAATAATGTACAGCCTGACGTATGTGAGTTGACTGCTGGGAACGACACGACCAACTACACCAGGGAAGGTAAGAACATGTTGCATGTTGGGGACAGTCATATAAGGTACACTCATAGGGCTTTCTGCTTAAAGGATAGAGGGTTTACTTTTCTAGGGCTGGGCTAGAGGATTTTGTTATCTGTCTTGACCACTTTATTAATAGTAATGAGGTTAATCCCATTATCTGCCTTAGTGTTGGAGGCAATGATGTCGGCAAACATAGAAGTGAAGATTTATTTACCATGTATAGGACAGCAATAGACATAATTATGAAGAAGGGAGGGCGCCCTGTTATATGTGGCATTTTGCATAGAAGTGGTGTTGGAAATAAATGGTTCCAGAACAGCTGGTATTAATTGTTGGCTAGACAAATACTGTAAGGATAATGAAGAACCATATATCGACAACTGGGACCACTTCTGTGGTAGAAATGTCATGTGTGCCAGAGATGGGGTTCATACATCTAGGACAGGTGTGGGTGCTCTCTCTCTAGTTCAATGGAGGGGTTAGAACCTGCAATCAGAGAGTCACGTTGATGGCTTTGAGGGAACTTGATCTAGAGTTTGTCACAGCCAAGCTAGTGGAAGATTCGTCTGTAAAAACTTGCATTTTTGGCCACAGTGATGGCCTATGCTAGCCTTCCTATGGTGGTAAAATATACCTATTTGGATGAATCTTATTGTATCAACTGGTCCAGTGGTTAACGCGTCGGTCTGGTGTTGTATGACTCTCTGATCGCGGGTTCTAACCCCACCCGTGGTAAGGTTTGTATGCAAAAGTGTCATTACGATTTCGTGAATCAAGTAACATGGGTAAAGACGATAACAAAAATTGTGGAAAAGCGAAGCTGAATAGGGAAAAAGAGAAGAATAAAAACATATTGAAGTTTCTTTAAACTATAGACAAAGTCCCAGGAATAAAATTAATGATCTCGTTTGGTTGTAATTCCTAGAAACACTGATGTTATTGCAATAACTGAAACAGAGTTTAACATACGGAGTCACAACGTGATTGCCATATTCAAGTGAATTAAACTGTTGATAGAATAACGGTAAGGGGGAGCGAGCGCTATATGTCTGAGGTGACCTGAATTGTTGCCTCAAAACTGGTATCAAAATGAAGGATTAGAAACTGAATTTGTCCGGGTAGAATTTCTTGGAAATTAAATGTTTATTTCAGGTGTTATATACTGACTCTCTGACTTAGACACAGAGGGAGGCTTCCCTGGAAGGAAACTGTTATATACCGACTCACTGACTTAGACACAGAGGAGGCTTCCCTGGAAGGAAACTGTTATATACCGACTCACTGACTTAGACACAGAGGGAGGCTTCCCTGGAAGGAAACTGTTATATACCGACTCACTGACTTAGACACAGAGGGAGGCTTCCCTGGAAGGAAACTGTTATATACCGACTCTCTGACTTAGACACAGAGGGAGGTTTCCCTGGAAGGAAACTGTTATATACCGACTCTCTGACTTAGACACAGAGGGAGGCTTCCCTGGAAGGAAACTGTTATATACCGACTCTCTGACTTAGACACAGAGGGAGGCTTCCCTGGAAGGAAACTGTTATATACCGACTCACTGACTTAGCCACAGAGGGAGGCTTCCCTGGAAGGAAACTGTTATATACCGACTCACTGACTTAGACACAGAGGGAGGCTTCCCTGGAAGGAAACTGTTATATACCGACTCTCTGACTTAGACACAGAGGGAGGCTTCCCTGGAAGGAAACTGTTATATACCGACTCACTGACTTAGACACAGAGGGAGGCTTCCCTGGAAGGAAACTGTTATATACCGACTCTCTGACTTAGCCACAGAGGGAGGCTTCCCTGGAAGGAAATTGTTATATACCGACTCACTGATTTAGACACAGAGGGAGGCTTCCCTGGAAGGAAACTGTTATATACCGACTCTCTGACTTAGCCACAGAGGGAGGCTTCCCTGGAAGGAAATTGTTAGGTCTTCTTGGCATAATAACATATTATTAGTAAGAAATTTTAATTTAGTGAAATCGACTGGACTACTCTGACCTGAAATTTAGATTCCAGTGGCTTCCTGGAAGTGACTTCCTGGAAGTGACTTCCTGGAAGTGACTTCCTGGAAGTAACTTACTGGAAGTGACTTTCTGGAAGTGACTTCCTGGAAGTGACTTCCTGGAAGTAACTTCTTGGAAGCGACTTCCTGGAAGTGACTTCCTGGACGTAACTTCCAGGAAGCAGTTCAAGACTGCTTTTTCAAGCAATTTGCACCAGAGGCAATAATCTGCTGGACCTGATTTTGCCCAGTAAGAAAACTCTCATTAATAATCTTGAGGTGACTGAGGAACTTAGTCTCAATTACTTGATAATTCGAAATTAAAGATATTACATTAAAAGTCCCCGATTTTCAGTTTCGTTCTGACTATTATAATTAAGTTAGTAAACACTTGTCTAATCTTGACTGTGGATACCTGTCTAATGTTCGTGTTAATGGTGACACTTACAATAACGACACGAACCACGAATCTAACATTTTTTCTTAATAAAGTACAATGTACTCAAAAAATATATTTTAACCAGAGAGAAATTAAGAGCAAAAGAAATTATCCTAAATGGATAAATAGGAGACTATAGTAAATATTAGGAGAGAAAAGAGGATTTGTAGATTAATGGTTCAGAGAACCGACATGTTGATAAATTAGACACATGTGCAACTCTTGGGTATCTTCATTGAGGAAACGTTTCGCCACACAGTGGCTTCATCAGTCCATACGTAGGAGAAACTTGAAGAACAGGAGGAGAATGAGGTAATCAGTCTCTCAACCTTGAGTCGATGTGTTCAGTCCATCAATTCAAGATTGATGGACTGACAACATTGACTCAAGGTTGAGGGACTGATTACCTCATTCTCCTCCTGTTCTTCAAGATTCTCCTTTGTATGGACTGATGAAGCCACTGTGTGGCGAAACGTTTCCTCAATAAAGATACCCAAGAGTTGCACATGTGTCTAATTTTATCAGAGAAAAGAGGAATTTATATGTGCAATAAACTTGCTTTAAAAGAGGTGAAAGAAAAGAGGGAGGGGATTAGGTAGGCTGAAAGTGACTGTGAAATTAGTTAGAGAATCATAGACAATCCAAAAGGATAAATAACCAAAAAAAGCCACAATATCGTGACCTAAACGATACATAAATACAGTGGACCCCCGGTTAACGAACATTTTTCATCAGAAGTATGTTCAGGGCCATACTGACCGTTTGTCCCTAAGGATATTATGTGAAGTAGATTAGTCCATTTCAGACCCCAAACTATACACGTAAAACGCACTTACATAATACACTTACATAATGGTCCATTGAGTGACGTTAACGGTCCACTGTAACTGCACATAAACAGAGGGACTTACGACGGTGTCGTAAGTCCCTCTGTTCTATGTGCGAGTTACTTATAATTCCAAAAGGGCATTAATAGGAAAATTAAAGATAATTCTGGACACTTTACTATAATAACCAGGAAATGTACCTTTACAGTATTAGTTGCTTACAAAAGAGGACATAATTAATATAATAATCCCAGTAAACAATAATTATTTACGCCAGGAAGGAGACAAATTAAGTAATATTACAAGCACCAGAGATATAATTGTCAAATAATTAGATAAACTAAAACAAAAGTCGGAACTTAGCTGCTATTGTTATAATTATAATGATTGGGGAGCGCTAAGCCCGTAGGATTATACAGCGCATGGTGGGGATGGAAGGTACTCAGGCTCAGTTCAGGGAACTGGAGCACAGATCCAATTCCCTAGATCAAGAGCCCCTCACCAGCATCAAGGAAACTCCTTTGAGGGGCAACTTAGTCGCTAACGACCTTGTTTAACTCATCCATCCAAACTATTATTGTGTCAGAGATGTGGAAGGGGATAAGGCAATTCCTTCAAATTACAGTCCAATAAGCTGACGTCTATAGTACGCAATTTGTTATAATTAGTTATAGCTGGTGTTATTATAAGTCACCTTAATGAGAAGAATTTGATTAATGAGACTCGGCACAGATTCACGAGAGGTCGTTCCTGCCTGACAAACTTACTGACGTTCTTCAATAGAACATTTGAGGCAGTTGACAGTGATAAGGAATATGATATTGTTTATTTGGATTTTAGTAAAGCCTTCGACAGAGTACCTCACAAGAGACTCTTAAGAAAAGTGGCAGCTCATGGTATAGGAGGTAAAGTTCTAGCATGGATTGAGGCATGGCTTACCAATAGAAAGCAGAGAGTTACCATTAATGGAGTGAAATCTGAATGGGGATTAGTCACTAGTGGCGTTCCTCAAGGATCAGTTTTAGGCCCTCTCCTGTTCATAATTTACATTAATGACCTTGATGAAGGGATAACTAGTGAAATGAGTAAATTCGGTGATGATACAATACTAGGTTGAGGACACCAATGATTTAGACAAATTACTGTCATGGT